CTGTTCTAGAGCCTCTAATCATGTCTTTCACTCTGCTCACCATCTCTGTAGTTACCTAGGAGATTATTTCTGTTTTGAATTTTTCTAGAGCCTCATTCATCTGGTTTGTTACTTCCTGTGCTATCAGTTCAGGCTGTCCAGGTGGTTGATTATCAGGCTTTTTCCACCTCATTTCCCCCAGAATTTGCCTTTTGTGGGGTGGAAGTCTGAATTTGTGCCTTACTTAAATGTCTTCTCATTTTTGTTTTTGGTACTGTCCTTGGTTTAGTTCCTGGGTTGATATTTTGAAGTTGCTTATTGTAAGTATCTTTGTTGACGTATTTAGAACCCTTATGGAATGATTGCTTCTCAGAGGTGTCTTCCAGATATAGTTGCTCTTTAGGTTTTGAGTCTCTAATGGCTCTGAGGGTATCTCATTTTCATTATACCAGGAAGGACAACTGATTAGATCAACCACAACACCTTAGGCCAAGTGATACAATCAGCAACACAATAGCATCAAGTACCTCTTAGAAAATGACCATTTGTGGTAGTTATTAATCTATCACCTTTAACTGTGTGAATTAAATCAAAATCAAGGACCAACCCAACATATGTTTATAGTGAATAAACTGTTCAATATAGCAACTTTACCCTTTAGGATGGGGAGTTAGAAGAACTTGGGGAGGGAGGGATAGGTAGGTTGAAGGACAGGGGAAAGTTAGCAGTGAGGCCAGAGGACACAGGTGAGAGAAGGAAAGAGAAGAAAACAAAAATAAAAAAGAAATACAAATTAGGGCCAGAACAGGAACACAAAGGAAGATGAAGAACAATGTGGGACAGCAGGGGAGTGAGGGAGAGAGAGAAAGAAAAGAAAAAGAGAAAAATAAAAATTTTTTAAAAGTAGAAAAAGAAGAAAACCCCTTTATCTCTTAGTGTTATAAACTCCACTTAAAACTGATTAAAAGTCTCATTCTTGTCATAAAAAAAAAGAAAAAGAAGAAAAATAATTAAAAATAAGAGCAAAAAAATAGTGGTAATTTTGAAAATAACAAAAGATACAAATGAAGGGCCTCCTTCAGGGAATATCTCTGCTGTCACAATAGACAATGTGGGCAGCAGTGTGCAGTTATAAGTCAATGAGTCACAGTAAGCCAATCACAGACCTGTGAGATTCAGGCAGATTTCTGGCTGCAAGTCCCAAGTTGAGCTCCCTGTCCTCCTGCAGGGTTGAACTCTGCAAGTTCCAGCTGCCTTTCCCCTGAAGATAGTCCAGGTTCTGATGGGAGGTGATGATCCCTCTAACTTACCAAGTACGGTGGTCTGGTGTGCCTTTATTGCAGAGATTCTCTTCACTTTTCCAGTGGGCTTCAGTTTTCATCAGGGAGCCTGAGAGAGGCCCTCTCTCTGTTGCTCACTTCTGCAGCTCAGGACAATAGCTTTAGGTGCCCCTGTGTCTCTGTAGTGTGGGATGAGGTAGCTGCACAGCCAAGAGGCGGGGGTGGGGGGGGGTGCTGTTTATAACCACAGCTACTGCTGGCTGCTGGTGGGCTTGCCCAGGGGGGTCCTCACCGGCTCTGGCTCCTGGTCGCAAGTGGACATGGCGAGCCGAACAGAGTAGGGCACCGGTCAACCCGGGCGCTCTGCCCACGCAGCTACGCTGGCGGCTGGTGGGCTTGCCCTTGTAATGAAATTCTAATCTGGGCATTTCTCTTAAATCTATATAAAATATTCATTAAATATCATAAGGCACAACGTTCACAAAGGTTGTAAGATGCCTTTGGCAGAGTGACTTATACCTTTATCTTCAGTATCTAAAGATCATTTTTAAATACAAAATTTGGGGCGGGGGGAATAAAATGATGCAAGATAGATTGGATAGCCTGGATTTCATGTGAACGTGAGAAATACTCAGGACAGTAGATGCAGTCTGGAGAGCAATAGGATCAGAAAGAGAACCCACTGCTCACCCCTTCCACGCAGCACTTTCTCAGGTCCTCTACATTCTTCCTTCCCTCAACTCTGAGATCCCAGAAAGAAGTTGCCAAAACAGAAACTGCCTTTAATTCTTACTAAAAAATACTACCATCACATATCATTAAATAATTTGAATAAACCAAAATGCAGTGAGAAATACTTTTAAAAACACATGTTAAGAGAAAAAAGCCACACAAGCTTCTTCAATTTCTTGGTTTGAAAAAGAGAAAATATCAAACAATCCCTTGGTATAAAATTTTACTATAAAAACTCTTTGTCTTTCATAAGTCTAAGACTCTCTCTCTCTCTCTCTCTCTCTCTCTCTCTCTCTCTCTCTCTCTCTCTCTCTCCTTTCTTTTGTACCGGGGATGGAATTCAGGACCTTGCCCTCGCCAGGCAGGCAAAGTGCGGCTGAGCTACATCCTGAGCCCTAGGCCATGGGTTTTTCTAAGCCAAGTAACAATAAAGGCAAGCTTCGGGGTGAGCACAATCCCAGCATCTGAGCCAGCCTCCCAGGTCAGTCGGTCGGTCGGAGTCCCTGGCCCTTTTAGCTCCGCCTTTCCTGACTCAGAACATCCGGGTTTGCCCTTTAAAGAGCCTCTCATTCCTTTAGAAGACTTGGTCCCCCAGCACATTTTAAGGTGCTAATGTTTATCCATAAGATGAAAGATTGCTTTAAAATCAGGTTCAGCAGTGATTTCAATATCAGAGAACTCAAGTGGATACCATATTTAAGTATGAAGAAAGCAGAAAAAAGAGATCTGTAATTTATATACTCTTTCTTTGTGAGTTGGGTTTAATATCCTGAAACCTCGGTGTTTTGCTAATTAAGGTTTTTGGGGGGTTGCAGAAAATGCCCGGAACCAGTTTTGACAAACCCCAGAACACAGATGAATTCCTCTTCCTTTCTGTAGTTCAAAATTCCAGATTCTGTTCTTTTTCTCACCTTCTCTTTTTTTCTTACTTTTTTAAAAGTAATGCTAGGGATGAGACCCAAGTGCTCAACCACTGAGCTATATCCCAGCCTCCCAAGACTGTATTAAGAGGGGCTCCAATTGGCCAGACTCAAGATGCATCCTCACACCCATAGCTGGAGGAGTGGATGGCTGTTGGCAGTTCCTAGAAAGGCCCAGGTGATTTTTCCTCCCCAGAGGACCTACCCCAAGAGGCTCCTGTCAAAGCACTTCAGTTTTTCCCAACATTCTCTCTCACAGTACAGATGAATACTACTTCTCAAATCCAACACCAAGTTCACCAAGTTTAATCATCAGGATTACCTCAGTTAATAAAACTAAATGCCAATGACACATACATGAAACAACATGTAAACAAGTAGAAGCCAGTAAAGGTATGCCCATTGCATAGTATACTTTCCAGAAAGAATTTTGTGATTTGTATGTAATTTCATACTGACCTCTCAGTGAAAAGATCTATTTTCCTCACATGACAGGCTATGCAAGCAATTTATACCTAGAGTCTTTCATTATCACAGCTCTAAGTAGTACACTGATTAGTAAACCCTCAAAAGTCATGTCTACCTGGAATTGCGGGGTGTGACTTTATTTGGAAACAGGGTTATTGAAATTTTTTTGTTTGGGGTGGTTTTTTGGGTTTTGTTTTGAGTTTTGAGGGTTTTGGGTTTTTTTAGGGGGGGACAAAGTCCTGCTGTTTCAGGACCTGCTCAGACTGGTGTTGAGCTCCTAGACTCAAGAAATCATGCTGGCTAAGTAGGTGGGATGACATTGCACCCAGCTGGTTTCAGTTTTCTTTGAGATGGTCAGGAAAGCCTCACTTCTCGGGGGAAGCTGAAGCTAAGCAAATACTGCACCTGAGAGCAATAAAAGATGAAGACAAATGGAGAACCAAGAAAAGACCTCTCTACGCATAAGAAATGATAGTAGGTTACAAGCCAGTATCAACCTCCGTATTCCAGTCTGTAAATCGAGATTGCCGGCCAAAATGATTTCTCACATTCCTTAGAAGTCTGATGAGTCCTGTGGGACATGTCAAACTTTGTGAAATGCCTTCCACCTGTAAGGAATCCCTGCTGCAGGAGAGAGCTGCTCTCAGCCCTGAGGATGTGTCTAGATGGCACATGTAAAAAGGAGAGGAGAGAGATTGTTCTAAAGTCAAGTAAGCTTTTTAAATTAACCAAAGAAAGTCAAACAGGATTTATTCGATCCTTTAATGTAGACAATGATATCTGTGGCCTCTGTGAAACGTATTTGGCTATGGAAGGATTTTTTTGCAGAACACTTCATGAAACTATTAAATAGAACACACTTTGGGAATAACTTCTCTCCACCAGGGGCTGGTAAACTTTATGTAAAGGACCAAGTTGTAAGTATTTTAGGCTCTATGAGCCAAATGGACTGTTGCAATTATTCAGTCCTTCCATTCTGGTTTGAAAGCATCCATAGACAATATATAAATGGCTGTGCCCTAATAAAACTTTATCCATACTGAAATTTGAATTTAACACAATTTTGCTTGTTTGTTTGTACCACAGTACTGAAGATTGAACCCAGGGCCTTTGCACTGAGCTATATCCCCAGCCCCCTTTTTATTTTTTAATTTTGAGAATGGATCTTGCTAAGTTGCTGGGTTGCCCATGCTGAGCTCAAATTTGCAACCCTCCTGCCTCAGCCTCCCAGAGTTTTGGGGATTACAGGCATGTGTCACCACACCAAGCTAATACAGTTTTTCCGTGTCATAGAATGTTTTTGATTTTTTTCAATCATTTAAAAATGTAAAGACCATGGCTGGGGGTCGGTAGAGCATTTGTTTCATATATTCAAGGCCCTGGGTCTGATCTCCAACACTGAGTAAAAAAAAAAAAAAATTCCCTCCCTCTGAAGATTCAACGATTGAATCTGGTTTCACTCAGTGATAAGAGTATGTGCTGAGCATTCATAAGACCCTGGGTTCAGAGCCCAGCACTATCCCACCAAAATTGAACCTGCTATAATAAACTAGCAATAAATTCACAGGAGAAAAAGCAGTCATCAATATGTACTTGTGTGGGGAGCCAGAAGGGAGCCAAGATGGTTTACATCTCGAATGGACAAGTGTTGGACAGTTGGAGTCAGTCCCCGTGGAGACTATCACTAATAACAGATTTCTTCTGGAGAATAGCTGAGTTTGTGGTTTTGTTTTTCAAAACTCTGCTCCAGCAAGATGTGAAAAAAGGAGGAGGCTACAGAAACTCATCTGATTCCAGACATGATGATGGAAGAGGGCCACCAGGAAACCCTCCCCGGAGAATGGGTCGAATCAATCATCTTCAAGGTCCCAGTCCTCCTCCAATGGGTGGTGGGTGGATGAGGAAGGTAAATGTCTGCTGTAAGAAGCAGACAACTAGACATGCACATGCATAGCAGAAGGAAACCATCAGAAAGTGGAGCGCTGACAGTGCTGGACAAGTAGATGAGTGTGTATGTCTCCACAGGGATTGCTCTGTGTTCTCACAGATGAATGAGGTCATGCCAGGAAAACTCTGCAGAGATCTGGCCTGACTGATAATGCAGTTCTATAGATGCATATGTTTGTCTCATTGTCTTTTTTGTATAGTTGATTAAGGTATTGATATAATTTTAATAAATAGTTTTAGGTTACATACTGATCCTTCATCTTTATATAATTAAGTCACAGAAGCTCTGACCCTGGAGAAAATAAATAAAAGGCTGTGTGTTTAGTAAAAAAAAAAAAAAAAATGTACTTGTGTGTAGGACATATACAAAAAAGGAAACTTGAAGAAAGGTCCAGGCAACTGAGGTTTTAATACTGCAGCAAGAGGAAGAGGGCCTCATGGCTCCCAGCTTGAGCCACCAGAAGACGAGGAGGAAACAAACCTCTGCTAGCAAGGGTCGGGTCTGCTCCGAAGATGGCCTCCTAGGTCCTCCCTCCTAGAAGACACTGTGGCATCCTATAGCAGTCTCTGCGCAGATGGGATCCTTCATAGATCCAGGCAAGGCTGGGGAGAGGGCCTCAGAGGAAGCCTGTCAGTCATCTACTCCACCAATGTAGGTGCTCTCCACAGCGGCCATCTCTGCCATGAGAGGACCCCAGAACAGCGGTCTGAAAATATGCCCGAGACGGATTCTTTTTTGGGGGTGGGGGTGGGGGGGTACCTGGGATCGAACTTGGGTCCTTGCACTTGCAAAGCAAGTGGCAGAACCACTGAGTTAAATCCCTGGCCCTAAAACGGATTCTTTATGGTGGCAAATGTTAATCCCCACTCTCCTTTACAGTTACTTCTTGATAGAAAATAGAGCTTAATTCTACATTTGTGCTCTAATTCTACTTTGAGATCAGAACCACTGGGAAATTATGGCATGTATTTCTCAGTACTGGTTTTTATTTTCCTCTATAATTAAAAATTGAATTATTTTTTCTCTAGAAGGCATTCAATACATGTTTGTTGATTGTGTGTCATTTATAATGAACAGAGCAATGAATTACCTCTATTAAAAATGAAACATTTAAGCCAGGCATGTTGGTGCACACCTGTGATCCTAGTACTCAGGAGGCTGAGGCAGAAGAATCATCAAAGGTTCAAGGCCACCTTCATCCGGACCATCCATGGAGCAGGGCAGAAGGAGCCATGAAGAGAGGTGCCACAGACACGACTGAAATTGAGAGGAGGCAGGGAGCTAGAACCATGTGCTGTCCTCTGGCCCTGGGATGGGACTTTACCAGCAAATGATAACAGAATTCACACTATTCTACAGCTTCCTGACCTATGAGGGCCAGGCACTGAGTCAGGTCTTCAAGGAGTTGGCATCCTCATGAAGAAAACAGAAGGAAGCAGCAAGGTTAAGTATAGGCTACCACAGGAGCACTCAGAAAAGCAGGCACATGCTTTCTCATATGAGAAACTCAATAAATAATTTAAAGAGCAAATAAAAGATAGATAATAATAGGAAAGAGGGAGAGAGATCTTTTGCACATGAGGAGACCAAGAGAGGAGGGAGGGAGAAAGGAGGGGATGGGAAGTTAAAGCATTGAGATGTGTTATGTACCTGCACCAACTCCCCACGATGAATGTAATCATGTACTCAAACCTGTACAAAAACAAAAAAGAAGAGCCATCTGAATCCCAACTTTGGAGCTCAAAGCAGGTTGCTGAGGAAGTTTTTTTGTTTTGTTTTTTGTCAGTTATTGTTTTTAATTAAACACAGTCGTACATCAGAAAAAAAAAAAAAAAAGAGTTCAAGGCCATCCTGGACTACATAGTGAGACCCTGTCTCAAAAAACAACAAAACAAAACAAAACAAAAACAAACAAAAAGAAAAGAAGCATTTGGCTGGGTGCAGTGGTGCATACCGGTAATCCCAGCTCTTTGAGAGGCTGAGGCAGAAGGATCACAAGTTTCAGGCAATCCTGGCCAACGAAGGAAGACTCTCTCTCAAAAATAAAATAAAAGGGGTTGGGGGTGTATCAGTGGTAGAGCTCTTGAGGCCCTGGGTTCAGTCCCTAGGGCTGTGGAAAGAAAAGTGAAAGAAATATTTTCATTCAGCCTGGATTTAGGCAAAGATTTTTTCCTCTCTACTATTATTACTGTTTTTTAAAACCTTTCCTCCTCCTCTCTCCTGCCAAGATCTCTGTACTTTTGTTTTCATTTCTCTTTCACTTTTTGTAAAAACCTATGCTCAGAATAAATAAAAAGCCTCATTCTTTCTTTTCTTTTTTTTTGGTACCAGGGATCGAACTTGGGTCCTTGCGCTTGCGAGGCAGGCGGTGGAACCACTGAGCTAAATCCCTGGCCAAGCCTCATTCTTTCTATAATGTGAATGACTTAGAACAGCAAACTATTCAGCAAACTGTTAAACAGCAAACTGTTTTATTACTGTGTTGGATTCACTTGTGTTGAACAGAAAGGATGAAACTTTATATCCAGCTTTGATCCTCAGAGCCCCAGCAGGTGGATAAAGCATTTCTTCCGGAATCTGAGATAACTTCCACTGCAGCAAGTACATCCCACCGGAAGTAGTCTCCTTCACCCTGGAGGAAAGGCACACACCCAGGCACCTGGCATGCAGGATAGTGGTTACCCCCATGGTCCCAGGCAAAGGCTCCCGGCCAGCCTGTCCTCTGTCCTAGAGCTGGGGCAGGTTGGGGCAAATAGCATTCTCCAGAAGTCACAACATAAGAACAGGATTTTCTGCACTTCGGAAACACCCACACATTGCAACCTATTTTGGAAAAACTGGTGTCTGAAGTGAAGTAGTTATAGGAGCTACTTCAAAGCCAAGGAGCTCTCCCAGCTGAGAGAGTTTAAGTCCCACCCCATAAGGAAAATGTGCCAGCACTTGCCTAGCAATTGACAAGTCATGTGGAATATCAACTTTTATTTCCCCAATATTTAAATTGCCTTGCTTTTATACGTACATAAAATTCTAAAAACATGCATATTCAACCTACCAAGAAATGGTAGTTCTGTTTACCATCATTGGCTTTAGATCATTGCTTGAATTGAGCAATATAATAATTTAAAACACAGACAGACTCTCAGACTCACCAGGGAACATAGAATTCTTACCCAAGGACTGTGTAATCCATTTGCAAAATAGAATGGAGCTCTTGCACTTAGTTGCATATATTTGTTCTCCACTAGGGGATGTAACCTCTGAAATGCAGTTCTTCGGGTTGTCGGTGGTTTCCAAGGGACTGAGAGCAAGAGCTTAAAGAGAAACAAGACCTCCAGGTTCTCAGGTTACATTGTACTTTCCAATCCTTTGAAGTTAGCATAACCCTTCACTAAGTACTTGGCAAACTTTAAACTATACATCTGTGAAGCTGGGCCTTTTCTCCCCCTCTGCATTACCTTTCACCTACTTTAAAATAAACCACTCATTGTTTGAGAGGGAAAAATCAAATTTGTCTTACCAAAGTAATCTATAATGGAGTAAAACATTGCTAGAAGGTTTGCAATTAACTAATTCACCGTGCAGTAAATCTCAAAGGGAATGTAGTTAATGAAGGAATCATTTTTCAAACTTCACTATATAGGCCTCTATTTTCTTTTATAAATGAACAAAACACAAACTTTTTAAATTAGAACCCAATTTTTAAATGTTTAAATCATACAAAAACATAAGATTAAATGGGGAAAGGAACAGCCCATTTTGTTGCATATCTGGATTTGTTTTAGTATTAAAATAATGGAAGAAAATGTAAGGAAATACAGCAAGTTTAATTGCAAATGTTATTAGACTTTAACTTTTAACTTTACGTATATTTTCTCAGACTTTATCACTTAGAAATGACAAAAACTCTTTTAAAAATCATTTAAGGGCTGGGGTGTAGCTCATTGGTAGAATACTTGCTTGGTATCCACAAGGCCCTGGGTTTAATTACCAAAACCATAAAAATCATTTTAAAATCATGTAAGAAATAAAAATGCCATGCATGGTGTTAGATATTAGAGGTGATTCAAGATGAATAACCCAGAATCCTTACCTCTATAATAGATATTTATATCAAATAAAATGGAAACTACTTACCTGGGTTGCTGAGGCCTTTGACGATTTGTCTGGTTTTCGCTGCCTCATTATGCACACCTTGCTGTGACCTATACAAAATTATTTGTTATTGTCCAAACATGCCAAACCTTCCTATGCTTGTATGTTTTTGGAGATACTAATTTCTCTACTTGTGATGCCCTTTCCCCTTGGAACACTCCAGTCATCCTTCATGTGTCAATTCAAATAGCACCTCCTCTTTAATTACTTCCAGGCTTCGAGTTCAGTAAAAGTTAGTTATTTCTTTGTCTTTGGATCTGTAGCACCCCAAGCCTGCTTATATAAAATGTCTCTCACAATGATTTGTAATTACTAGTTTTGGTTTTCGTCTAGAGTGAGCTCTCTGAGAGCAGCAAGTGAAAATTTATTGTCAGATTCTTCCATGAATTAGCCAGGACAAGGTAGGCAATAATAAAAGTGCTAGAGATAGGGGTGTGGCTTAGTGGTAGAGCACTTGCCTAGCATGTGCAAGGCCACGGGTTCAACCCCCAGTACCACAAACAACAAAAATGCTAAAGCGGGTGTGGTAGTTCATGGCTATGATCCCAGCTACTTCAGAGGCTGGGCAGGAGGATCACAAGTTTGAGGACAGCCTGTACAATTAGTGGGACCCTGTCTCAGAATTTAAAAGAAGGTGGGAAGTAGCTCAGTGGTGGAGGGTTTGCTAGTAAACAGGAGGCCCTGTGTTCCATCTTCAATACCAAAATAAAGAAAAGTGCTATGAAAGAACTGAGGAAGGAGTGACTCTTTGTGGTTGTTAGGGAAGACTTTCCAGAGAAGGTGGCACTTGGCTCTGATCAAGAACTTCTCAGAAAATTCCAAGTAAAGAAAATATAATGTGTAGAAGTGTATGGGTTGGTAGGGAAGCGAACCAAGTTTTAAGTGGGTTTTGACAAGACTAGAAATTCCTACATGACATATTACAGTCTGACAGCAGCATGAAAGACACATTGGAAGGTGATGTTGCTACAGGTTGGGAGAGCTCGTTGAAGATTATGCTCATAGTTTGCGAAAGTAGA